TACGTGAAGCAAAGAATGGAAGATTGGGGACAGATGGGTTTGAGGGAAAAATATTTGAGAAACCCTTAAAAACTACCAGACTCTAAGGATTTACGCATGGTGGGGCAAAAGTAGGTTTACAGTTGTGAGTACGTGAAACACAGTTCATTCTTGTATTATTGTTTATTAATCATTGTATTATTTTCCATATGAACAACTGTAAACCTATATTGTCCCACTCCATATATGTCATTTATAAGATAATCACAAGTTGAGGGAAAGAAAATCCTACATTTTCACAGAAAAATCATAAAATACATCTACGGTGCAGAAGCTAGCTCCTGCCCTGCCCTACATTAGTGACTGTCTGAATAATGTTACGTAATTCTGGAACACGGTGTTTACTCTGGATCCATTCAACCTGGATCACTGGTGCTCCATTTCACTTTGAATATAACGGATGTGGAGCAAAGTGTGTCCTGTACTGTCATTTCCTAAGGCACTTCATCTAAAGTGGTGGGTGGTGCTGATCACTGGTCCTAGGGTTGTTTTGGAATCCAAATGGCACACTGGACAAATCCACTGGCAGGTCTCACAATATCCTGCATCTGCCATCACGTCACCTTAATAAATGTAGAGCGATTGTGACATAAGAATAAAGAGAGATCCATACCCTTTCTCCACAAAATGCATATCATGGATAATTACATTCCCCCAAAAATGTAGGTCATATCGACATAAGGGTACATTAGTTATCTATGTCCAGACAACTGTCGAAAATCTTTTAAGAGGGCACTCAAAATTTCACAGCAGCCAACACTGTCAGATTCTAAACTCATTTGTCCCTGTGTAAAATTGCATTTATATAACAGAAAAAGTAAGAAAGCCTGTCTTTAACCAGGTCAACACAGCAGTTAATTCTTCCAAACCCAAGGCCAACTGAGCCACGAGTTAGTGTGCCTGATGAGTTTCCTGAAATGAGGAGTTAATGGATACTTTATTTTTCAGAGTGACTAAGAATGCATGGTCTGGCACTGGATTCCCTAAGTTCAAACATTACCTTCTTTTTGTCCCTCATAAGGAGATAATACCTTATAGGATGGTTACAATGATTAAAGAAGTAAATGCATATAAGTGAGAAAATCCACATAAAGGCAATCAATCCAATGCCAGGTACATGTTAAGATTATCAACTACTTCAAACTGCATGATTACAAATATCATCCTCTCTTTACTAAGTAGACACAGCGATATTCGTTCTAAATAAATTCATTATAAGGAAACATTTACAAATTATGCACACTCATATAAATGGTATTTTATACTTGATTTGTGCCAACTAAATAAGTCATATATTTCAAATGCTAGTCCTAATGTTTTAATTTACCTTTATGTTGAGGAAGGATTATGCTAAAGAATATCATATTCCCTACTCTTTGAACAAATATGTATAATGGTTTAACAAGCTTCTATTAACAACAAAAGAGAAAATGAATTTAAGCAATAGCAAAAAGGAATTATTTTTTTAAATTTTTTATTACAAAGGGTATTATATATGTGTCCATTTTTCCCCCCGCCCTAAACAGTCCCCTAGCCTCCCCTATCCCCCAGTGTCTTATGTCCACCAAAAAGGAATTAGATTAAATCTTAAGTATACTTCCTGGAAAACAGAAAGAGCTCTTAAGCCTTGGGAAGGCTGCTTTAGAATTGCCGTTTTTCAGCATCGTTAGAAGTGGAGAAAACGCTGTGCACAGATGATTTTCCACTTTTATAACCTCTCGCCATAATGTGCAAGCCACCCCAAATCATTTTCCATTTCCACTTGTGATTTGTATTTTAATATCTGGGAATTCTTTTGACATGGATATTGATTAGGAACGAATATTTTCTGACCGTAGTGATAAGGATGACAATGCTGAACAATGCTAACACGTTTCCTTTGCAATAAACCACAGCAATGGAATTGGGTGTTTCTGACATGAGCAAGTGGGTATAAGGGTGGGTTTATTGCCACACGAGTCTCACATCAGCTACCTGAAAGATGAAGGATGTGGGGACTGGGCAAATCTAGGTGGGGGTTTCAGCGAGAGACTTGTAATGCCATCAGCGAATTGGGTGTCCTGGTGACAGGGAGGTTTAAGTTCATAGAGAAGAAAAATATGGATTCCCTTGATCATACTACTTAGTGTTAGCCTTGTACTGTCCCCCCACTCCACACCCCAACAAAGAAAATCAATATTCACCAGATCCTGTGCTTTATGTAGGTAGGGACCCTGCTCACTACAGCCCAGCACTAAGATCAGTGCACCCGGCACAGAGCACACACACAAAATATTTGGTGCAAGTTGAATAAAATTATTCCTTCACTTTTTATAAAAATCTCAATCCCAGAGTACTATTAATAACAATATTTACAAATATAATTAAAATACAATAGAATGTCGTGCTGATATGGCTCAGTGATGGAGCATGAACCAAGAGTTCATTGGTTCAATTCCTGGTCAGGGCACATGCCAGGGCTGTGGGCTCGATCCCCAGTGAGGGGCATGCAAGAGGCAGCCGACTGACGTTTCTCTCTCATTGATGTTTCTCTCTCTCTATCCCTTCCCCTTCCTTTCTCTCTAAAGTTAATACAGGCTGTGGTACTGTGGACTAATACCATAACCTAGCTACTATTTTCAGCCTATTTCTCTAGGAAAATGGAGAAACTCCTGTGCATATAAATGGAAAGCTGGCCTATGTATTAGAAAACTTCACTTTCAAACCTCATTTTGGAGGGTGTAAATTACTTTTACAGTGAAAAACACCCGAGTTTAAATTCCCCAGAGGTAGAATCATTTTCCTAGAAGAAGTGTCTTGAGGAAAAGCACAATGTGTTTTTTTCCCCCTTCTCATTTTGTATTCTTTGAAAGGCAACACTATAAGATAGAAAAGCAATTTTGGATGGGCAGGCAGATAGCTCTCAGCTCTACCCTATTACTTCATGTGACCCAGATTTCATAATCACCATATTTTTCTAAAGTTAGACGTATCTTAAAATGGCCTGAACATAGATCAATTATAATAACAAGGAGTAGCCGGTAAGCGCTCCATCTTCTAAAAATTCTCATGTAAGCTCTTTTTGGCTTCTTTCTTTTATGTTTCTCAGTCATTTACCATTATTCACATATCTCTTTTCTTATTTATATCAAGTTGCAATTTATTTAATAGTTTCAACTTTCAACAAATCTCTATATACTCTAGCATCTTAATAATCAATGATGATATATTATTGTACACTAATTTGGATCTGTTGTGGAATCCATATTTTTTTTTGGAATATTGACTTTTTCAAGAGTAATTAAAAATGTTAAATTTCACTTCCTGCTTTGTAAGCTTATATCATTTGTCTCCAAAAGATAGTCATAGTATAAAATAGGTTTTTCTGTCATTGATTTGTTATTTGCTGTTTTAGGGGGTAGGGGTTGCTTTGTTTTCATTGCCATATAATTTCCACACACTGCTATGATGATCTTTTTCCTTTCCTCCAACATTTGTTAGAATTTTTAAAATGCCCCTCACACTTAAATGTGGAAGAAGAGGAGTGATGTGTTTGTGTGGTAGGCTTATCACTCTAAACGAATTAATGTTGTACAATATAAATGTTGTAACAAGGGTAACAGCTAACATGGCACTTGGTAGATGGTCAGGGTTTTAAAGTAATTCATAGAGCAGCAGGGTCAAAGTGATCACAGCAAATTGGGGGGAATCCTGGCACATCCTGATATTTATTCACATTGCAGTTTAAAGTATACAGCAGACTTTCTCTGTAGATGAGGTTTCTTAGCCAGCAAATAGGAAGTAGCAATTGTAGGAGTTTTTCTTTCACTCAGGAGAGGGCTTCTGTGCATGTAACAACAGAAAGGACCACTACAACA